AATACTGCTTTCGTGGCTAGAAGAGACTCGGTTATGTCTCTTCCAACCTTTTTTGCTGACGTGGATCTAATTCTTTATTATTCTGGTATAAGTTTTGTTAGGATAATCAGTATAATAACCTTTTAATTCTAGGAATTGTTTTTTAATGTAAAGAAGCCAGATGTTGGACTACGTGTATTGTACGTGGATTCCAACATTAAACTACACGATTCAACGTGTATTTGATGTCGATTCCAACATTAAACCACACGATTCAGAGAACCCCACAGGCATTAGACTACGTAGCAAACTACATAATACAATTTTCAATGAATCATTTTGTAAACCACAATTATGCAAAGCTGGACCATTCAACGTTTGTATACCATTAGAATTTGTAGTTCGCCGGCGGCTTCAATGTGCATAATTTAAATACCTAAATAAAATCTTTAACAAATTCAAAATATAATTTTTAAATCAATTCCACGTATATCTATTGTTGGGTACAAGTATAATAAGCACTCGAGTATTATAAGTTTTTTCATTAATTAGAGAAGACAATGAGATGAGTGAGTACATCACATGTAGATAAACTAACTTCTCTATTCAACCTCACTTTTTGTGTCTTAAATTTAAAGTTAGACAACAAATTTTGTGAGATCCTTAAATCTTTTAATTAAGATTTATTTCTCGACATAATAATAAATCCCAGCAAGCATATAATTTCTTCTTGCTTTTTCTCAAATATTCCAAAAAAAAAAAAAAAAAGGAGGTTAAATTTAGAGTAAATTACACTGATACCTTTTGAAATTTGCTCCAATTAATTAATTGAACATATTAATAAAAGTGGACCTAATTATAATATCTTCTTCTCATACTGGGCGCGAGCCACCCCTTTCCGTCAATTAGCCATTAGATACGTGAACAAATATTTATGTAATGAATGACTCTCTTTACCTTGTATAAAAAAGACAGTCACAGTAGAAGGTCGAATATCAAAGTTCATATTGGAACAAATGAGTAAAATTACAAAGATATCTAAACGTACTGTGATTTTTCTATTCAACCTCACTTCCAACGCATGAGATTGATTTATGGGACTCAAAAAGTACATTATTATGACGGCATTAAATATAATAATGTCTATTATTTACTTACATAAATTTAGTGAGATGTGTCGGGTGTCGGGTGTCGGACTCCTTATCACTTACATAAATTTAATGAAATGTGTCAACATGACCTTTTAATATATGGTGATCATAGGTCCTAATGCGATTTAAAACTATTTAAAAACTCTTCAAAGCTACCTAAGGAAATCAATTTTTTCTTACAGCTCACTTGTGTCCCTAAAGTAGCTAACACCCCCTTCACTCCATGAATTTAGGCTTATATGATGTTGCTCCACTTGTACAAATGGATAGTAAGTGACTGTCCCAACAAATTTTGTGTAGGGGCTATCTTTTAATTTGTAAGGGCAAATTTATATAGTGGGTCTATTTTTGTAATTTCAATAGAATTTTTGTCAAAAATTTTTACAAATTTAAAGTATAAAATGCAAAAAAAAAAAAATACCAATTGTAATATTAGTGGGGCATCTTAAAATTTGAAGTATAAAATGCAAAAAAAAAAAAAAAATTTAAGTGAGGGTGAATTATAATTTTAGTGAGAGCATTTTCAAAAAATTTAAAAAAATTAAGATATAAAATGAAAATATAAAAATTCAGTGGGAGCTCCCACTGATCCTATGCTAAGTCCATGCTTATGGATTGCTAAACACTTTGCAAATAAACAAGTCCATCACAATGAATCAGCTTTTGTTAGTGGTAAGAAAATTAACATAACACCGTCTTTGCAGAACTTTTGCATGGCTACCACAAACAATCTAAAACCCCTAGGTGTGCAATGAAAATTGACTTTAAAAAAACTTTTGATTCTGTGTCAACGAAATTTGTCCTTAATTCCCCTGTTTTTACTTGGCTTTCCTACTATCTTTATCTCTTTTGAGGAAATGATTTTTATCTGCTTCGTTCACCATGTCATTTCATGTTGAATTTCATGATTTTTTTCAAAGAAGTACAGGTCTAAGGCAAGGTGACCCCTTGTCTCCTTTCATTTTGTGATAACTTCAAAATATGGCTTCGGAGGATTTTTGGATTTTTGAAAATATTGGGGAGCAACAAGAGGAACCTTAGGATATATTGCAACAAGAAGTTAGCGATGGCAATGGCAATGGACTTTCAGAACAAGTGGTGGATATCTTCACAAAAGCAAAGGATGTGGAAATGGCCTATAAATAGGTTGTACAAAAATTTACTTGGAGAGCAAGTTTTCCAAACTATAACAAATAATTTCTTCTAAAGTGTTATACTTCTCCTTGTACAAACAAATTAATCGATCAAGACACTCTTGTACTTGATTTGTTAGCGTTGAAAGTGAAGCCACATTTCAGAGCTGAAATGTTATCAAAAGATCACCCCAAACCAACTTCCCACAACATTATATATCTCCGGTCCATGGTTCGATCCTGGTTCCTCCCAAAGTTCCTTAATAGGTTACAATTGGTAGGGTTTGGAAAGGCTGAAGATAAAATAACTTCACCATTAATTATTAAAAACATTATTCATAATATTTCCTAAATGGATCATAAAATTAATTAATGAATGAACTTGGTTACCAACCCGGTTGGTCGACCCTATTTGGACCAATTGGTGGCTAGAAATTGGTTTGGCATAAAAAATAAAAAAAAAAATTCAGGATTACTTAAGTTGTGATTTTGGATATCGGAATTAATTCTAATGAGATAATACAGCTATGAAATTGTCAGATGTAAAATGTATATTACATAAAGCATATAAAGTTAATTCAATAAAATATTTTAATATTTAATAGGAAAGAAAAAGTTAAATTTCTATTTTAATTTTCAAATGAAGCAAATTGTTTTTTCTTTCGGTATTTTTCTTTCATAAATTGTTTTGTTTTTTTACTTTGCATAAGGACAACACTTCGTAGAAGAAAAACAAAATTTGTAAGAACTTTCATTCATACTTTCAAGAACCTGGGGCTATTTATAACCGACTTTTACAGTTTTTCTAAATTATTTTAGAGTTACATTTTTTTAATTTTTATTTATTTATTTATTATTTTCTTCCTTTTAAATATCTTAGATATTTTTGTACACATATTTTTTGCATGTCATTTGCATTTAAATAAAATATATATATATATATAGTCTTAATCAAATATGTTTAAGTTGAAATTTCTAAAAATGAAGTTACAATTTTCTAGTATTTTCTCCTCGATATAATCTATCTAGGTTTTAGATAGTTCTTAAGGTAAGATTTCAATTTTTTCTTCTTTTTAGAAATTTCTAAAATAATGCATTATTTTTTAACAATGGTGAAACAATTGTTGAAAAAAAAAAAAGAAAAGAAAAGAAAAGGGCAAAGTACAATAAACTTTGCCCCATAGAACCCCATCCAACTATTGGGGGGACAAAGCGAAGATGTTTGGACTAAATTTTTTTATATGGTATGCTTCATATATAAATGAATAATTTTAAAGATTTTGTTAGTAAAAATAAAATAAGAGTGCTTGAGCAGATTTTAGGTTGCCTATTTATCTTTGGTTATGATGGTATGCTGCACAAATCTTATATTTCTGAAATCTTTATTTTGTAAGCTGAGAGTAAAAATAAGATCGTGCAAACCCGTGCAAATAAAACCAATATCATGATGGTATGTTGTACAATATCATGATGGTATGTTGTACAAATCTTATATTTCTGAAATCTTTATTTTGTAAGCTGAGAGTAAAAGTAAGATCACGCAAACCCGTGCAAATAAAACCAATATCATGTTGGTAAATGAAAATCATGTTCAGGTTCCTTGAGTCGGACAATTTATGTTACATTAGAGTTTAAGCATGCAATTTCTATAAGAACTAGGGATGGCAAAAATCCTTTCTCTATCAGCAACCTGAAAATTAAACAAAAACAAATTATAAACTAAACAATTTAAACATTCACTCTATTAAGAACTTCCCTTATACCTTACTTATCAAAAAAAACAAAACAAAACAAAACAAAATGAACTTCCCTTGTACCTTACACAAATCAAAAATATATAGAAAATATTAAAAACAAGGGAGAAACACGATATAAATATATATACACCCCTAATGAACTCAAGATGGCAACAAATTAGTCACTCCATCCATGGTTTTGGAACACAATCTAAATTTAGCAGATAGCACCCATATGCAAATGGTGATCATCGAAATTAATACAGGAGAAATATAGTAAGATTTAAAGGCAGATAGGCAGACAACTCCACAGGAAGCCCTATCCTAAATGAGTTGATCAAATTATTATTTTTGGAGTGCCAAATCAAGCTACCTTCTAGAGATTGAGTTAATTTGGTAGGCAATAGTTGCAATAATAATACCTGTGCTGGTTCTGCTAAGAAGGGTAACTTTCACAATAATACCAAGTCCCTTCAAAAACCAACTACATATGAAACAGAGAAAAAGGGACACATTATTTTATTTCTCTGCTTCTCAATTAAACACTTGGGAGAGAGAGAGAGAACAGAAATTCAAGAATTTAAGTTTCTTTGCAGGAAACTTGGAGAGAATTTATTGGGCTTTGGTTGAATAACCTCTACAGCTTGGTGCCATGATAATGGAGAGTGGTAGAATCAGCAGTGCAGGTTTAAGTACTTCGAATACAATGCCATGGAAATTTTTTCGAAGTCTTCTCGAGAAGAAGATGAAGAGGCTCTCAAATGGGCTGCCATTCACCATATCTATGTATAAGGAGCAGTATACTGACCGAAGAAGAGGGCTAACCAATAGAAATTGATATAAAGAATCTTAGACCACTTGAGGAAAAAAAATCTGTTAAGCTTGTAAAAATTGCAGAGGAAGATTATGGGAGCTTCTTGTTGAAGCTCAAGGAACGCATTGAAAGGTAATCTCACAAAAACACACTCTGTTGCATCATTAGACTGTACATTGATCTACAATTTTTTTTTTTTCCTGAAGCATTCTTTAATAATTTAATCACTTAGGTTTTACTTGTTTTTAAAAAATGCCGAGATGGAAATTGAAGTTCGGTTTGAGCATTTAAATGTTGAAGCAGAAGCGTATGTTGGCAGTAGAGTATTGCCTCCTTCATGATGTCAGTGGGCATTAAGCCTGGCAGGTAGAGATGACAAGATACTATAATTGTCCCTAACGAACTCTCTTAGCTTCTCATTTTATTTAATCATTTTCGCAGAATGGCTTTGCTTCCAGGCCCACCAAGATCAGGAAAAACCAAACTGCTGCTAGCTCTGGCTGGAAAACTTGGTTCAGATCTAAAAGTAAAAAATAAAATAATAATAATAATAATAAATGTCCTTTAACTAATTCCCAGATTTGCTTCAGCTGCTCATCTTCTTTTGTTTTTTTCATAAGTCTCATCCGCTTATCTTTTTATACGCTCGCGTGTGTGTGCATGTATGTGAATGTGTATATACATATATTTTAGGTAAGGCTCTTGTAATCTTATATTGTTTATGCATACTATAGGTGTTGGGGAGAGTGACATACAATGGCCGTGAAATGGATGAGTTTGTTCCAAAGAGGACATCAATTTATACAAGTCAATATGATCTTTGTATAGCAAAAATAACGGCTTTTTCAGTAAGATGTCAAGGGGTTGGACCCTGTTATGGTCAGTTAAATTGGCCTGTTTTTTACAAAAAAAAATAATAATAATTAATTTAGAGCAAGTTGAAACAGGAGGGGATTACTTGAGTTACATCAAGACCCTTTTCAGGATAAAATAAAGCAATGACCAAAAAGCTAAAAGCAACGTACTAGATCAGCTTCAAGTGCTGCTCGATAAGCAGCATCTTGCTTCTCCCTCGGACGCATGTCGTTTCTTCCTTCTGCATCAAGCCTTGCTGGAACAAAAACATCAGGATTCTCTTCACACACTCTCTGTGATACCAGCAAGATGATAAGAATAAGAACAGAAACAGAAAAGCATTCGGCTGACAAGATGATAGCTGATAATTAACCGAACAAATTCAATAAAGCAATTACGTTGTCAGATGACTACAGTACAAACACGTAGACAAACAGAGAAACAAACATTCAGTTTTCAAGATGATAACTGATACTCCAACAACAACACCACCACCAACAACCAAGCCTTTTGCCAACTACAAGATGATGGATGATAACTGAACAAATTAAATGAAGCAAGTTTGTTGTCAAATGACTACAGTACACAGGCAGACAAACAGAAAAACAAACATTCAGCTTTCAAGATGATAGATGATAACCAAACAAATAATATAAAGCAAGTTTGTTGTCCCACACATAGAGATAAAATAAAATAAAGTACAATTTTCCGTAAGAGGAAAGGGATAAGGGCATTATTGTGTACCCTATGGACTAATATCGTGACTTACCATATCTCCCAAACCGTTACACAATGCCGGAAGCGAAAAGGAGGTGGGTTAGCGTTACACAATGCGGGAAGCGAAAAGGAGGTGGGTTAGCGTCAGGTAGACAACCAACTGTAATACCTATTGTCAAATCATTTTAATGAAATATCACTCAAATAAAAATTACCACATAATTAATTCGCATATAATTAGGATAGCAACATGGAACATAGGGACATTAACTGGTAGGTGTAATGAATTAGTGGATACCTTAGAACGAAGAAAAAGTAAACATAATTTACTTACAAGAGACTAATGTTTTGTTCGGTAGGAAGGAAGGAAGAGAGGTGGAAGGAAGATAGGAAGGAAGGAAAAAACTTCCATACAAACTTCCATCGTTTGGTAGAGAGAAAAACAAGGATAGAAATGAAAATAGGATGGATGAGTTCCTTCCTCCTTCACAACTTTTTTACTCGGGAGGGAAAGATAACCAACAAAACAGAGTAGGTATATTAGTAGGTCATTACATGAGGGATAAAGTAGTTGAGGTGAGAAGACAAGCAGATGGAAAAATAACTACTAAAATTGTCTTAAATGAACATATCTTGAATACACTAAGTGTGTACGTGCTCTCAAGGAGAATTAGATGACAACACAAAGAAACTCTTTTGGGACCCGTTAGATGAATTGATACAATATCTACCTAATCATGAAAAAATATTTGTAAGGGGTGATTTTAATGGACAATGAGGTGTGGATAGGATCGGATACACGTATCCATGGAGGATATGGTTTTCGGGAACGTAGTGAGGTAGGTGAAACACTTTTATAATTTGCAAAAGCATACGAGTTAGCAATAGCAAACACTTTTTTATAAAAAAGAAAAGAACATTTAATAACATTTGAAAGTGAAACAAATAAAGCGCAAACTCCTTATTGCTTGTATAAAAGAAGGGAATAGACCTCATATAAAGATTGTAAAGTAATTCCCAGCGGGAGAGCCTCACAAACCAACATCGCATATTAATTTTAGACATATTAATAGAATGGTTTAAGTATAAAAAGGGACATAAAAACATTAAGTGGAAAGAATTAAAAGGTAGTAAGAACAAGCCTTAGAGGAAAAGTAATGTGACTGGAATGATGATGTAAATAACTTTTGGCTCAAAATGGCAAATCATATTATAAATAAGGCAAAAGAAATTTTGGGAGAAACTAAAGGGGAAAAGTTTATTAAGAAATAGACACAGTGGTGGAGTGAGGAAGTGCAACAAATAATTAAACAAAAGAGAAAAAGCTTTAAAACATGACAAAAAAGTAAATTACAAGAAGAATTAGACACATTTAATAAACTCAAATATGAAACATTGAATATAGTAAGGAATGCTAGGCAAAACTCATTAAATGTCCCTATACGAAAAACTAGGTATAAAAGAGGGTGAGAAAAATATTTACAAATTAGCAAAGAATCATGATAGATCAACTAAAGACCTAGTTCAAATCAGATGTATTAAGGACATAAATAACACAATTTTAGTCAAAGAAAGTGATATATTAATTAGATAGAAGAATTATCTTCAAAATCTATTAAATGAGGAATACCATAGAGAAGAAGTAGAGGGAAATGAACTTAACATAGGAAAGATTAGTAAAATCACCAACAAGGAAGTAGAGGGCACACTTAAGGAGATTGGGATTAATAAAGCGGTAGCCGGTAGGCACAAATAATATACCCATAGAGGCTTGGAGGATGATTTTTGGCTTGTTTGGCGTGCAGTGGGTCATGCCCCGGTAGTTGGGAGGTTTGCCTGATTCTTGGAGAGGGTGTGATGTGGGCCCCCACACTCATCTTTTTTCAAGGATGGCACCCCTCTGTGTTTGGTGGTGCATTTGGAAGGAGCAGAATAGTAGATCTTTTGATGGGGAGGAGTCTCCCATAGGAACTTTAAAATTCCGCAGCGTTAATTAATTAATTTATTTTTGTTGGGGGGTGGGCAGAAATTGTACATCTATAGAGGAGATTGTAGATTTTTTGGGTTCGTTGGGTCCTTAGGACGCCTTTTGCGGCTTCGCCCTCTGTGTAGTCTTGGGACGTGTTCCCCTTTTAAAGGCATCCTACTCTATTTTACTGATCAAAAAAAAAAACAGAAAGTTATTTAATAAAATCTTAAAAGTAGGCGTGACACCAAATGAGTGGAGAAAAAGTACAATAACACCAATTTACAAAAATGAATGGAATATAAAAATTGTGGCAACTACAGAGGCATTAAATTAATGAGGCATACAATGAAGGCAAACAGAATGTTAAAGCAGTGAATAAGAGATTTTTATCCCTAATTTGTTCAATACGTCACTAACCTCCTCTCATTCCTCCACCAACAGAGTTACAAACACACGCTATTCCTTAATGAAAACTAAAATTTGTGGAGCTGATATCTAAATTTCTAGTCCATGTAACAGCTCCAATTCTCTACATCCCACCCCAGAATTATGCCATAAGCCTATACCTAACTTTTAACTCAAATGCTATCTCAAGGGTTCCTTAAACATCTTTAAAAGCATTTGACTACCTAAAATTGGTTATGACAATCATGACATTACAAACATTGTAATTTGCATATTGAATCTCTGAAACTATAACATCCCCCAATATTCTACTTAGTTCTCAAACAAAGCACAAAATCGTAGGATTAGCTTGTGAGAGCTTCCAACACATGACGTATCGAAAAGGCAACAGGGTCTCACTTAGCTTTGATCCCCAAGAATTAGATTCTATCCCATTAATAAGCTAGCATAAAAAAAAGGGAAGCCTCCGAAATGCATCACTCAACATATTTGTTCCTCCGCCCCAAGATCCATTCAATAAGATATAGCCATATGCGTTCTTTGTACCTATATTATCAGACACCCCTGGAAGAACTACACTTCATATAATTAGGAATTTAGGATTTAAATTTATAAACTAAAATCGTTACATGTATAACAGCACTCCAACAGTACTATGCAAAACAGTAAACTAACTCATATCACCTGGCACACCCAAGGAACGAAATTAATATGATAAACGTGCAATGCAGTTCACTTAATATATAACGCGCGGGAACTGTTGGGGCATCTCGAATCAATCCCCAAAGCTTCACATATAGTGGAAAGCTGAAACTACCAGGGCAAAGGAAAAATCTTTAGACAAGGGCAGGCACAATAGAAGGACGGGCACTGATCCTGATTAGACCTGGTGGTCCTGAGCAGATGATCTTTGGATTCCATAACAGCAAATCCGGTAGCTATTCTAGCGATGGATCTTGAAATAACCTACCATCAGTAAACTAACTCAGATCACCTGGCACACCCAAGGAACAAAATTAATATGATAAAGTGCAATACAGCTCACTTAATATATAGGAACTGTTGGGGCATCTCGAATCAATCCCCAAAGCTTCACATTTAGTGGAAAGCTGAAACTACCAGGACAAAGGAAAAATCTTGGGATAAGGCAGGCACAATAGAAGGATGGGGACTGAACCTGAGTAGACCTGGTGGTCCTGAGCAGATGGTCTTTGGATTCCATAACAGCACGTCCGGTAGCTATTCTAGCAATGGATTTTAAAATAACCTACCAACGGTAATCTCATCATCTAGTATCTTCCAACGCTAATCTTAGCATTACATTTGGAAAAAAAAATAATGAAAATCTTTCCTTCCGCAAAGCCAGAAAACCCGTGATTACCGCGCATCGCCTTGTCCCCTTTTGCAAGACAACCAAGAATCTCCACCTTATGACCAAATTCTGGAATCCTTATATAATAATTCATTCTTGAAAACACTCCAGAAAACCACGGTCAGTCAGTACTGTTAGTTATCAGGCCATCAATCTTGCAAGAACCTTGGGTTATCAGGCCATCATCAATGCAAGTTGCCATATTACAGGCTGCAGGATCAACATATGTGCCATGAGACTCCTTGAATTATCACTTCCAAAAGTTAGTCTCTAGATCTCCAATACGAGATTTTTCTTTTCATGAGAAAGACTTCCAAGAAGATAGAACTAATTTAGCCCAAGAGGAGAGCAGGAAATCTAAGGATGATGTGTGGAGATATTTACAATAAAATCTATGATATCTAACAAACAAGGAAATGTAGGCTGGCAATCACTATGTGCAGCAGATCACTAAAATGATTGAGATAAATATTAGATTATGCATATAAACCTAGCTATAATTATCTAAGAATCACAATCAATGAACATATTTCTCAAGTACACCCTTCCCAACTAGAGTTTCTTTACTTTATGTAAGCCACAAAAAACGCCAAGGGGGTGGGAAAAGATAATGGGTTATTGTAACTCAACCATTATTTCAGATAAACAATAATTCCTCATAATGCTTTTATAGGAGTTTTTCATGCACCACATTCAAAAAAGGTCTTAGCCAAATTTTGTAACGAAAGCCCTTTGAGACTCAATTGAAATCGAAATCCTAAACCATCTTTCATCACTAAAAAACCTAGGGCATCTGAGCGTTTCAGACATATACTCGCTCACAAAAAATTAAAAAAAAAAATCCCTATTCTCAAAAGAAATATATTTTGACAAAGACAAAAACCTGCAATCAAATTATTATGATTTTTTACTTTCGTTGAGTCACTTGAATTATTTCTTATACGTTTAAAACCCTTTCTTCTTATTATTCGTAATTAAATAATCATCAGTGCAAAAATCAACAGCCTAGTATCACTTTCGCCATCATAAATAAAGCATGCCTTATACTTTAATAATGAACAAACTATATTTTTTAAAATACAAAGAATTTTTTATTAGTTAAGTTAATCAAATGTTTAAACCAGCTGGCATAAAACCATTGGTGAACAACTTTGGGGAGTTTAACAGGTATCTCCTACTGATAAAACTAGAATGAATGCAATCAAAACCAAACAAATAAATATGAAAAAGAAAAGAAAAAAAAATCATGATTAACATCAATAGGGAAGAAAATAGTTGACTGAGTTGACAACACAATCAACAAAAGGCAACATGAGCATGTGTGAGTTAAGAAACCCACAACTAGTAGTATAGCACATAATAGTTATTCAGAGTAAGCTTCAAATCATCATCGCATGTAATTAATAGAATATTACACAACATAAAAGAGCACAAAACATACAACAAACACATGATTATTCTACATTGATATCCATAAAAAATTATCATCTCCTAAAAAGAGTCTCAATCAATTCTGTGTCGATTATCAAAAAAATGGATAAGTCATCCATTGTTGTTATGCTTACTACATACTCACAGTATTAGGTTGGTCAAACAACCATCATTGCCAACGGAAAAATGCAGTATCCAACCTTTTTCCAGCAGAATATCCTAGTCTAATATTCCCAATTATTAACATGATATATGTTCTAGGTTTTGCTTCATATAGCAAAGAAAAGACTAGGTTTTGTTGACTGAAGAGTAGTATATTCTAGGTTCTTCTGTTCTGGCAAAAACACGTGAAAAGGAATCTGAACCGTAGGAATCAAACCTGCTGAAATAGGGCAATCCTCTAGTTAGTGATAGCCATAGCCGCAGCACAAAATGAAAACCTTGACGCCTTACTCATGTCAGCAGTGTTCGGTTCGATTTTAATTGGTTTCAAGATGTATTTGAAGGTGATAAAAATGATAAATTGCAGAATTGAAGTTGTCTATAGATTCCACACTATGCTGGATCAAAATCTTATGTTCGTTACCTCAAGAAGCGAGGTAAGCTGCATCCAATGCATTAATTAAGAAGAAAAGGCATTCCTTTGTCAATTATTGCTAAGATCTCATATAATGCTTTTAAGAACTGAGGATTAAGTGCCCATAACTCCTCTTTCTATATATATATATATGTATGTATGTATGTTTATATGTTTATACAGATTCTGATTTCCACACTTGTTATTTTGTCAAATTATGGATACTTATCACAAGTAGTAAACCATGAATCTATTATCACTTTAGATTGCCATATGGTAGAAGTCCTGGTTTTCTTAATTGAATATATCAGCATGATCATTTGTCTATATATAAAGACGACGTTTAGAGATACTTTTATCATTTGTCTATATATGAATTGACTAAAATTTCATGGTGATTGAAGTTATCAAGTAACCAATTCAGTACTTTAGACTGCAAATTGAGAATCCTCAAGATTCATCTGGACTGAACCAGAACCCTAAAGGAAGAATTTTGGGGCTCTAATACAAACAGGTTCCCTAATAGGTGTTCTTTAGATCCTTGAAAGAAAGTCAGTCAGTCAATGGGCTATTAAGTTTTGCAGGTTAATTGAAAGCACCCAAAAGAATACACAAGACGCCAAAGGCGAAAACCATAGCTTTAAGCTATCCACAAAATCCAAAAAATGCCCAAAAATTTACAATTACGCACATTTAACCACAAAAAATAAAGTGCTTGGGAGACCCAATAGGAGTGTCCTCTCCATCAAACGTTTCCCTCATGCCACAAACCCACCGTAAACAAAGGGGAATGGCCCTCCAAACATCCTGGCTGGACTCTCCACTAGAGACCCTCTCCATCCTTCAATCATATCCACTGGGCTCTAAAATATTCCCAATATGTTAAACTGAAGTATTTACCTAAACACTAACTGAAATGGATGTATGAGCAAATTTTAATTAAATATCAATTAATAAAGAATAAATATAAAATCAAACAGTACTAGATCCATATATATACACACACACACAGAGATAGATATTGGGTTGATTATATATAATGAAGCGGATTGAACCTGATAGTATTGAGTAATCCGCACCAGAGGCCTCGATGAATATTTCCTGGACAGTAGGAAGCCCAGCCCGCTGATGATGCAACCATAACAAAAGAATATATATAGAATATGACATTGTGTTAATAGCATATGATATATATATATATATATATATATATATATAAGAGGGAAATAGAGAGAGAAAGCGTACCAAATACTCCAGAAGAAGTCGCTGTGTTTTGGTAGCTTTCCAAAGGTAGCCACCTTTCCATTCTCTGGTTTAACAACAATTACAACGTAATCGATGAAATCATCTGGAGTTAGTGCCTCTCCTGTGAAGTGACTATTCTTGAAAATCAACAACGATATACCCAGGCGGCATCTGATATTTTGGTTATGAAATTTCGTAGCGCTTACATTCGTCGGTTTCTTAGAATTTAAAGTAATAGCTTGCTTTTCGTCTCTGACTCCCGAATACGCCGGTATGATCTGTATCGCATCGGATTCCGGGTATTCAGTTTCAAGCATGCAAACTAAAGATGCCATTGAAACGCACTAAAAACCCTAAGCGCACACACTTCAATCGCAGGGATCAACAATTGAATATCCGGATCAAACAAGTAAAGCCTTGTTAAAAGAAGAAGAATCTCGAATCCTATGGAGTCCTAAAATAAGCGTATGTTTTGGAGTATATGTTGTAGACAAATTTTTTGGGATACCCAACAAAACAAAATAATAATAATAATAATAATAATAATAAGCAAGAAAGTAATGCTTTGGTTTGATGTGTGGAACTACGATGAGAATGGATGTTGGTTGCAAATATAAAAGTAGGAATAGAATGATAATAATTTATTCCTTCGGTCTCATTTTAGATGTTGCCTTGAGGAATTATAACTTATATTGTTGTGAATTACGATTTTTGAATGCAACATTTAAAGTGGAACGGAGGGAATATGTTGTTTGGTTTTACTAAATTCAACTGTTCAATGAAAGTTTATTTAATTTTAGGAATTTGGTTTAAGTGATAACTCATAAGTTTAAAATTTTGACTCTTCAAATAATTTTAAATACATCTCCACCTTCTAAAGTCCTACTTGTAGCCTTGTAGGAGTCAAAATTAATGTGTTTTTCCTACCTTAAAAAACAAAAATAAAAAATAAAAACAATTTCATAGAACCACACTCATTAGTGAAAGTCCAAGTTTTTAACGGACTCATGTGCTTTCTCGTGTACAATGTTTTGGAGTCGCCACTGGTTATTGTTTTGGGGACATAAACTCTGCCCGATTGTCGTTCTCCTATATATTTTAGAAATTTCTTCCGGTAGTTTTTTCATTTCCAAATCGCTTAAGGTCTAAGCTTTTTTTAGTACAATATTTTTTAAAATTATCATATTTTGTTACAAAATGGCTATCGACTATTTTTAAAAAAAAAAATTGTCACTATGTTATTTTTTTATTAAATTACACTTAATCTACTTTTTATTAAAATAAATTATGAAAAAAAAATCATATTAATTTGATAACATAATCTCGGTAGCAAAATTGTGGAATTGCAACTGGTACAAATCAATAGTAACCGCAAGAAATGATTTTTTTTTTTTTTTAGTTAAAGGGTAAGCTTGTATTAATATATAAATGTACATGGAGCCCCAAAGGGGAATGAAGCAAAGCAAAATAATGCAAAAAAACAAAACAAACAAGGCCACAGCCTAAAAACACCCCACCAAACAATGAAACCATTGAACCATATCTACAATCCAGCCCAACCATATCAGGAAGACATTTTCCCTTACATTCTTCAACGCACAGACTACGGATGAGAACTTAAGATATCAGCTAAGAGTGCATTCTTGAATCATTACAGGACTGAACAAACAAGCTGTGAAGGTCCTGTGGATCGGATATATCTCTGAGATCAACACTACTTTTCAACTTGATGGCTGCAAGTTTTGATCTTGTAGAAGATTTAATCTTTGAAATGATGAGGGTAGGTGATTTAAAAGTATTCCTGAATGCTCTGAAATTCCTCTCCTGCCATAGAAAGTAAATTGCTGCAGAAAGCAAGAGCTTGTGGATAAGAAATTTTTCTGAAGTCCAAAAAGTTGAGCACCATTCAATTAAGTCTGTCCAGCAGTTGGGGAGAATATAAAAGCCTGCAATCTCTTGGAGAACTCTCCAAACCCGAGAGCTGAAGAGACATTTAAAGAACAAATGATCCATGGATTCATTATCAGCCAAGCATAAATAGCACCTGTTAACATAGTGCTTATGAACCATGGGTTTAGAGTCCAGAGTAAAGAGTCTTCCTCTAACTGCTGGCCAAGCAATACAACTATGTTTTGGAATATGATTCTTAAACCAAATCAATTATTGTTCCTCTAACTGCTGGCCAAGCAATACAACTATGTTTTGGAAAATGAAAAAATGAAAAAAGCAACTTAGACCAAACTTCTTTCCTACACCATTCGAGTTTAAAATAAGAACGAAATCTAAAAAATAACACTACAAAAACTTACAGGTAGGTTTCCACCACATCAGAAGTCGTCAAGAGATCACTATTGTTCATGTCCCAAAATTTTATCAAATTAGAATCACTTGCCACCAAGTACTTGTTCTTAATTGTATCAAAATTCATGATACCCTTGGACCAACCATGAAATCCTCGGTAGGTCCTCTTCGCAGCACGTTCTTGTAAATTCCATTCGAAAATATGTGTCGTACCAGATTTGCAAAAAAGCCTGCAATGTTGGGAATCACAATGGTGTTAAAACATGTCTTTTGTAAACATATGAGAAAGACATAATATATTTTTAACTACCTTTTCCCATCAGCACTGAAGGCTAGTGTTGAAAACAATCCATCAGGATCATCTAAAGTGCCCTTGGCTATGACCAAAGGGTAATCTTTCCATCCATTGATGTTGAAAGGATAAGCTAAGATGTACAAAGGGGGCACAATTTCAAAAAGACTAAAAATAAGGTTATTATGGAAGCAAGAAATATAAAAGGGAAAAGGGGTCCTTACATGAACTTCTTCCCTTATACTCAGACAGACACAATAAACAAGCTCCTCGTGGCCTTCAAAAGCCATCAACATTACAGCAGTATCCACATCCCACACCTATAATTACATGTAAATTAGTAAATGCCTCTATCTTTGGCAACAATATAAATAATTGACCAAAAAAATTAATTAACCTTTATGGTATAATCATCACCGCAGGTGATGACCAGAAGTTTGTTATCAGGATGGGAAAATGCACGATATTGTACCTTGCCGATGTGAGAATCTGAGAAGTACATGTCAAAAGCCAGAAAATAAAAGGAAAACATGGATTATGGAGACAGTATATCAGAACTTACCTCTTGATGTTGTTGCACACCCATTTTACCAAAATAAGAATACAAGTGACAGATAAAATTAGGGTTTAGAGAGATGAAAAAGAAGAGAGTCCAAGTTGATGATACACACCATTGTTTCCGAATTTCAGGAACTGAAAAATCGTGTGTGAAGTGAACAAAGATTCTTATAACTAAAAGAATTAGACACTATGCTCAGTAGTATGTCTTCAACTCTAAATTTCCATCAATTCTAAGTGATGTGACTTAATTTGAGTGCATCAACATATTATCAACATCATCAGTCATCATCACTAGAGTCAACGTTGACATCAACATCCTCATAACGTTGACATTAACATCCTCATCTAGAATCGTCATCTAGAATCACATAATCCTCTTGCATAGATATATATTTGATTAAGATAAATTGAAAAGAGACTTCCTATAATAATTATTCATTTTAAAACCAACATCACTGCTACAACGGTAAGGGGATTTATATAATTCAATTAGCTAGGCAAAAAAAACATACCTTATTTTGTTTTTGCCAACTCCACCCATTCCCATCAACTCTCCTCTTTCATAAAAGAGACCTATATTATTAGGACAAAAGAGGAAAACTTTTAAAAGCGTCAATAAACTTGTAAAACATATATTCTAAAATTGAAAACTAAACTTCCAAGTCTTTAATTCCCATTAATAAATTGTTCGAGCATTACATCATAACAATATTATATATATGTATGTAGAAACAAAAACAAAAAATCAGTATGTAAAACATAAATACATAAACATAACCAATAGCCAAAAATGTCAATTAAAATTCTAGAAAAAGTAAAGAGTTTGTTACCTGATGACTGAGGAGACATGTTTCTTGAACCTTGTTCTTGCTAAATGTTAAGGCCCGATGCTAACCCTAAAAATAAGAAAACACTTAAGTTGTGAGAAAGAGGTTTCACAATCTCACTCAAAACAATTAAAACACCACCATCTAAGTACTATCTGTATCATGTATCAACCCATCTATGCTTTCAGTCAAAATGTTGAACACCTATGCTAGAAAGAGATGTGATTACGGATAGGTGTGATTAACACATATTATGCTTAGCTCTTATGATAAATTAATCCAATAACAAAGTATAATGCATCAGTTTAGGAATAATCTTCAATCAATATCCTAATATTATGCATTCTAATAACAAAAGAAAATCAAAAACCAAAACTTAAAAGTAAAAATATGGCAGAAAGATTGAATATATCCTTCATGCATTACACATATTGTATTTCTATGTGAAACAAAACATCCAGGGTTTCTCAATGGGGTGGGCTAAATCAAAATATATTAACCAAAATAAACTGTTGTTTAATTCAATTTTAGTTAACTAACAATGTTTCTTTAGATAATTGACTGATTAAGGCATAGAAATTCCTATTTGGGTAATTAATTAAAAAAAAATACCAATTTATTTCACCACTCAGCACCCTATCTCTTCTTTTGACCAATTTACTAATCCTATTAGTGTGAGGTAGTTCATGGCAAGCCCCTTCCAACACTATGGAATTCACTCAAAAGCATGCTTTTCGTAAGTATTTTAATTTTCAAGAAGTAACTTTAGAGTTTTACCCTATATTAAGTACTTTTGCTTGTCAAAGTTCTTGTTATGATTTTTATTTTTTTAAGTTCTGAAAAGATTTCCATCTTCAAAAGCTTGGCATGTTTTTTTTTTTTGATAAATCAAAAGCTTGGCATGTTGATAAAAATTGTTTCAAATTTAATCTCTGCAGATTTTTTTTTTTTCTTTTTTCTTTTTTCATGCCCAGATTCATATTTTCTTGTAGACATAATTGACAAAAAAAAAAAAAAAAGGAAGAAGAAGAAGAAAGAAGAAATTATAGAAAGTAAAAAATATATATATATATTTGTTTTGCTGAAATAAAATGTAGATTACGGTGATTACCTCAAAATGCAATGCAAATTTTGTTACTATATATTGTAAAAAAAAAATTAATAATAATTATAAAAAAGATCAAAAAAAAATTCACCAAACAGGATTTAGTTTGCAAAACAAGAATTACAGACCTTGATTAGTTGATTTAGAAGGAAAAAAAATTAAACAAAACCTATACATACAAGTTAGCAGTTGCAGAGACAGAGGGGGGCAAGCTTGAGAGTTGAGAGACAGCGGCTGAAGCTTGCGAACGTCGAACCCGAACTGGAACAGCGAGCAAGGGAAACTGAAAGATATGGGTTTTGATTTTTTGAACAATCTGAAATGATGCCGATATGGGTTTTCAACTTTTGATTCTTGCAGACAGATAGATAAACTGAAATATATGGGTTTTGAACTTCTGATTCTTGTAGATTTTGTAGCTTGCAGTTGCCGGGGGGGGGGGGGGAGTTCAGGGTCACGAGAATAGAGATGTAGGCGAGGCGATTGGGGAGGCTGAAATGATTTGCCTTAAAAATATTTTGTTTTTTTGTTGACCCATCATCCATTGGCCTATAAATTTTGAGACCATAGGCGACCTCCTTGGGTCAGGCCGGCCCTGGGGTTTTTTTTGCCTTGGGCTTTTATTTTAAGTATGTGGCTGAGTTGACGGGCTTGATTGGGTAGGCTAATTCTATTAATAATTTATTTTTTTTGGATTGGGCTAAAATTAGTATAGTTAAAAATAAATAAATAAATTTGGGAGTGGGCACAAGCCCACCTACATTGATACAACGAGGGTTTCAAACCCTTTTTACTACATATAGATATATTACTTCTGGCATTATTTTGAATATGTCATAGACCAAAAGCTTGAACCAAGCTTTATAAGAGTCACTTTCCAGTGAAATAAAAAGGGTTCACACCCAAATTTAAATCAATAATAAAAAAAGTAAGATGTTTGAAAGATTACACAAATTAAGGAAAAAAAAAATTAAAAGAAGTGAAAATCATATGTGCATTAAAATAAAACAAGAATATATCAAATTTTAAGTGAAAAAGAAAGAAGCAATTGTGCTAACAACTATGTGCTAGAGTCAACATATATAATAGTGCAATTTTAAGTACAATGATGGTACCAATTGTAATTGCAACTTTTAAGTTTCCAGGCTTAATTGGAGTACAAAATTTTATCACAAACCTCAAAGGAAAATTTGAAGCACCAATACCAAATCTGAACTTTATAATTCCTAAACTCCATCATACATCAGTATACGTATATATAATTCCAATAGCAGAACTCACTACATTCAAAATCCCACTGTGTGGCTCTATACTTCATATTTGTAACCAATGGCTAACGTCTCTAATAAGTCACTATAATAAAAAAAAATATGATGTTTATTATTTACACCCTCTTGGAGCAAAAGTAAAGTTTTGACACCTATCTGTATCATGTATCAACCCAACCCAACTATACTTTCAGTCAAAATGTTGGACACCTATCCGTAGAAAGAGGTGTGATTACAGATAGGTGTGATTAGCACATATTATACTCAGCTCTTTGTTAAATTAATCCAATAACAAAGTACAATGCATCAGTTTAGGAATAATCTTCAAAATTAACGAATCAATATCATGATATTCTGCATTCTAATAACAAAAGAAAATCAAAAACCAAGATTTGAAAATAAAAATATGGCAGAAAGATTGAATATATCCTCCAGCATTACACAGATTGTATTTCAATGTGAAACAAAACATTATTAGTAAGGCGGATCCAGGATTTCTCAATGGGGTGGGCTAAATCAAAATATATCAACCAAAATCAACTGTTGTTTAATTCAATTTTAGTTAACTAACAATATTTCGTTAGACAATTGACTGATTAAGGCATAGAAAATCCTATTTGGGTAATTAATAAAAAAATACAAATTTATTTCACCACTCAGTACCCTATGTCTTCTTTGGACCAATTTACTAATCCTATTTGAGAATCTAGAGTGTGAGGTAGTTCACGGCAAAGGTAGTTCATGGCAAGCCCCTTCCAACACTATGGAATTAACTCAAAAGCATGCTTTTTGCAAGTATTTTAATTTTCAAGAAGTAACTTTAGAGCTTTACCCTATATTAAGTACTTCTGCTTGTCAAAGTTCTTGTTATGATTTTTTATTTTTTTTTAGTTCTGAAAAAGATTTCCATCTTCAAAAAGCTTGGCATGTTGATAAAAATTGTTTCAGATTCAATCTCTGCAGATTTCTAATCCAATTCAGATTCTTTTTTTTTTTTTTTTTCATGCCCAGATTCAAATTTTCTTGTAAACATAATTCACCAATATATATATATATATATATATTTGTTTTGCTGAAATAAAAGGTAGATTACGGTGATTACCTCCAAATGCAATGCAAATTTTGTTACTTTATATTGTAAAAATATATATATTATATAAAAAAAATCATAAAAAATTTCACCAAATAGGATTTAGTTTGCAAAACAAGAATTACAGAGCTTGATTAGTTGATTTAGAAAAAAAATTTAAAACAAAACCCATACATACAAGTTAGCAGTTGCAGAGAGAGGGGGGCAAGCTTGAGAGTTGAGAGACAGCGGCTGAAGCTTGCGAACGGCGAACAATCGATATGGGTTTTGAACTTTTGATTCTTGCAGACAGATAGATAAACCGAATTATATGGGTTTTGAACTTCTGATTCTTGTAGATCTCGTAGTTTGCAGTTGCAGAGAGAGGGAGAGAGAGAGAGAGGGATAGGGTAAGTTCAGAGTTGAGAACGAGAATAGAGATGGAGGCGATTGGGGAGGAAATGATTTGCCCCAAAAATATTCTGTTTTTCTAGTGTCCCATCATTCACGGCCTTTGGATTAAAATTGATCAACGGTTGTGGAGGAGGCTTGTTTAATACGACGCGGATCGATTCCACGAAAAAGTTTGAATAATAACCATTGTATTAATTTTTTAATGTTTTTTGGTGACCCATGGGCCAATGAATTTTGAGCCCTAGGCGACCGTGTTTGTGTCAAGGCCGGTCCTGTGCGTATTTGGCTTGGGCTTTATTTTAATACGGTGGCTGAAATGACTTGGAATGAGCTAACTCTATT